CCTAAACCCTAAACCCTACCCCCTAAGCCACAAACAGATCCTCACGGCTTGCTGGGGCGAGGCAACCTGAAGCGGCTCGTTGGCCTCTGACTTCGTACTTGATATAGGAGCATTCAGACTTAGGGTTTCTCGTGTTTACTATACACAATTGCGATATTAGGAGCCTTCAAAAATAGAGTTGGTAATTCCTCAGGCTCCTGCATAAGAGACTGCGGGAAAGGTTGAGGTCTCGCGCAAGACTTGGAACTTGACTCTTTGGCTCTTCAGCCAGGACACGGAAATACCTCTTCGGCACAACAACTTGGGTTTAGGGTTTAGAAATACCCTTGGTTCCTCCAGCTTCCAGGATGTACAGACGGTTCTGGTCCTGTCCGAGGTGTGGTTTTGGCCTGGCGAAGCTGGTTGACCAAAACCCAGTCCCAGTCATGTGCAAGTCATGCCGAATCAAGGTTGAGGGCTCAGTCTTAGTCAAAGCCCTATCGGTGAGTAGGCACGTGCATCCCACCCTTGCAGTGTGCAATGGGGCAGTCTATTCCCCATCGCCCGCCGCTGGCATGCTGCCTGCCGAGCAGGTGCGCTGGATGGGAATGCAGCCAGGGCGTGGAGAAGGGCTAAGCAGTTTCCTTGCACAGCTAGAATGTCGTATGTGTGTGTGAAATCCAGACCCCAGGCCCAGCCTCTTACACAGTGGGAGCTATGTGAGACTCAGGGCTTCCAAGACTGTCCGAGATGTGCAAATCGCTTGCCGTCTAAGTCTCAGGAGTGCCCTCATCATGGGGACCATGGTGATGACAATTTAGCACGCTTGTAATGTTGGTAACAGTGATTCCGGGAATCGCCGATGATGGTGATGATGATGATGATGACGATGATGATGATGAGGTTGTACCAATTCATACAGCACGTTTTCGCTGTCCCCTACATTCCATACATCTTAAACCCCGAATGCAGTAGGGCACAGGCTCGACTAGAAATCGAATTCAAAAGCCCCGGGCCCCGGCTCCAGGGATTGGCAGCCCTCCGACGAGGGCCGTCGCGTAGCCTTGGCCGCGACACCACTGTTTCAGGCACAGGGCTTAGGGCTTAGGGATTTAGAAAGCTCTGCTTCACGGCGACGGCGGCTCCGGACGAGAGAAGCCTGCTGCAAATTGCAGCAGAGCTCACAGTTTGAGGGTTCGGGGTCTTAGAGGGCTGGATAAGGTTCAACTCTGCAGGTAGATGAAGGGGCGGACTACTGTAACTTTCACAAATATCGAGAAACGTTTGGTGCCTGATGCATCGATACTTAGTGAGGAAGGCTGAAGGGCTTGAGTTGAAAGGTGTGTCTTCTGCGCGTCCGCAGTGCTTCCAAGCCCCGTCCCAAGACTCCTGCAACCCCAGACCCTGAAGAGTGCCCAACCGTGACCTCTAAACTCCTAAATCCTAAATCATCAATCAAAGGACGAAGCCCAGAAATGCAAAGCGATCCACAGATTCTCGGCTTCACGGCCTACCACACCTCCATCATCATCGGCGAGCGCGAGCTTTTCTTCGACGGCGCCGGCATTGCAGCTTCACAGCATTGGGCCGCTTGATTCAGGGAACTGGCCGGCTGAACGACTACAGAACCTGTGGTCTCCATTGTAGTTCCTTTTTTTGGTTTAACCAATTATATATATTGAGGAGTTTTATAAGGTATCCCCAAAAAGGAACTACAATGGAGACTTTAGGAAGAATCGAACTTGGCAGTTCCGAGCCTTCATGGCTCTGTCATGGGGTGACGCTCCTGTTGCCAGACGAAGTCTGCTTTGGTTTCTTCCGCAAGCAAATAGGGTTTAGGGTTTAGGGTTTAGGGTTCAACAGAAGCATTTCCTATTGATGCCAGCCCTGGGACTTAATGTGGTGGTACAAAGCTAGGTGCAAGCAGATGCCTTCTGGAGCCATGAATGGTGCGACGGGGCACGCGCTAGGCTGCTTGGCCTCATGGAAAGTGGTGTCTCGTGCTTTTTCGCCTGAGGGCAGGGAAATGGTAAGACCCTCCAGCCTTTACAAAGGACTCCGAAACAGCCATCCAAAACTCTTGGTATTCAGCAGAATAGGATAAACCGGTTCCGGGCACTTGCGTTTCAGCTTTCTTGCCCATACATGGAATCCGGCTCCAACACCGCATGAGTCCGGACCGTCAACATTGAAATCACAAAATCATAAATGACATTGTTCTTTTCCACATGGCAGGTTCTGAGAAATTAAGGGAGCCTCATTTTACAGACCCCTGCTCCCGCAGGCCGAGGTTGTTGGGCCTGGGATATGGGGCTTGGGATTTAGGGTTTAGGGCCTAGTTTCGAGAAAGTCTATGAACTGGAAAAAGGATTTAAGCCTTAGGGCTTCGTTGCACAAGTCCTGGACGGTGCAGCTCGCCTGCCCTGGAGCTGTCCGAAAATTGGCTTCCAAGTTTGAGACCGTACTACAAGGCTGCTTTCTTTGAGGGGTCCTGGTAACATAGGGGCCTGAATAATTATCAGTCGGGTTCCTTGTGCCAGTATAATAAATCGATCATATACCTCAAAACCCTATTCGAGTTCATCAGGGTCCCTATATTCTGTTCAGAATTTATGAGCGCGACTGTCGCTAGCCGCCCGCCGGAAAAATGGTCCCGATCGTAGGGATCCTGCTCTTGAGCGGCTTTCGGTTCTCCGAAATCTCACAAAAGTGAGAGTTTGTGGGTTTTAGGATTTAGGGTTTGTGGGTTTGGGATTTAGGGTTTAGGGGTTTAGGATTTAGGGTTTGTAGGTTTAGGATTTAGGGTTTGTAGGTTTAGGATTTAGGGTTTAGGGGTTTAGGACTTAGGTTTTAGGGGTTTAGGATTTAGGGTTCAGGATTTAGGGTTTGGGGTTTAGGGTCAAAAGGGTCGTCCCGAGCAGCTGACTGCTGTTTGGACATGGCATGGTCGATTGTCCAAAGCATTCGGTAAAAATTCGCGCTTAGGCTTTGGGGTTTAGGGTTTAGGGTTTAGGGTTATGATATGGGAGTTTCCAATAATTGGGGGTACCTTATTTTGGGGGTCCTTATAATAAGGATCCTATTATTTAGGGTACTATATTAGGGTCCCCTATTTTCGGAAACTCCCATATAGGAAAAGTGTTCTTCCGATTGCTGAGTCGCCAAGGTCGTCTTCTTACGAGACGGAGGTGGTGGAGATGGGGTTAACCGAGTTTCCTGACTGATGTTCAGCTGGGGTAGGTTTGACAGACGTCACGTCCGTTTGCCTTACGCACGTGGCTGCGCACATTCTCCTCTGGCGCAAAGAAAGGATTCGTCGTTGAATCTGGTAGCATTGCCATGCCAGTCTTGCGTTGCAGCCTCTGGCAAGCAGCTTCGTTTTCGGCGTCCTTCTGCTCGTCGACTGCTGCCTTAGCAGCAGGTTCAAGAAGTGACTCCTAAGTCTGACATCTTCTTACCCTACTGACCGGTTTCGGGCCGGGAACTCAGCGACTTTGTAAACCCGCGCGAAACCTAAGCACATATGGATCCTCGCCTGGCTTGTCCGAGTTGTGAAAGTGTAAACCCTGGCCGCCCTGGCCCCCGATGCTTGACATGATGCCGCTTTTCTCTGACTATGTACCCTGCATTGGCGGGCTTCGTCCTGGAGGCCAAAAGCCCACACCCTAAATGGTGTGCACGCAGAAACCCTAAATTCAAACCAAGTCCCTAAACCCCCAAAGCAAGTCCCTAAACCCCAAACCCTGAAGCGTAAACCCTAAACTCAAAGCAAGTCCATCTTTGACAGGTTGGAGCCCTCGGGCACGAGTCGGATTCTCGAGCCTTTCTTCGAGACTGGCACGTACGATGTCTTGAGGATCCTCGGATTTTGAAGCCAAGCATGGGCGAAGGCCGAGAAAGCTTCTTAATAATTGTGGGTCGCTGGGTAGGCAGATTCGGAAATAGGAATAGTTTTGGGGTGACGAGACTGAATAGCAACATTTTGAGAGAGAGAGAGCGAGAGAGAGAGAGAGAGAGAGAGAGATGGAGAGACAGACGGACAGACGGACAGAGACAGAGAGAGAACTTGAGTCTCAGCCTCAGTCTTTTTGCCTTTAGGGCAGCACACCGGCCAATCCCCCCGACTTTCAGGAAGAACTGCAACAATTTCTCCGACGCGGCGCTGTGGCTGCTAGCTCGCCGGCGCTTGGAGAGCAAGTTCAACCGCTTGGAGAGGTCCCTATCTTAATGGTTTTGGGGCGTGATTTGAAAGTGGCTGAGAGCGCTAACCTCACAAAGAAAACCAGACACAGGTGGGTCCTGGCATTGGAGCCGGTCTCACTCGACGTGATTCGCAGGACGTCTTCGGCATCAGTTGGGGGCTTTGGATATTGTGTTTGTGGGAGTGCCATTATAGGGTCGCAGGTTTCTTGGGCTCGATCCCCTCGACATGCTATTGCAGTAGCCTCTTGCGGAGTAATGCGAGCGATCCGGGGACGATAATGTGAGTACCACGACGAACGGCACCCGGGGAGCAATCGGAAAACCTCTCAGAAACACTTTGGTGAATCGTCACTGTGCGAGACAAGCCGAATAGCAGCTGTATTCGTGGTAGTGGTAATAGTAGTAGTAGTAGTAGCAGCCCTAGCAGTGGCTGTAGTCGTCGTCGTTGTAGTCGTAACAGAGCGGCCGCTAGCAGCAGCCGCCCCAGTAGCCCCAAAGCTCCAATCCGATACAATCCGGAAGCGGAAGCCTGGCGCAGGGTGCTCTCAGTGGACCCTGTACTCCACACCCCTAAACCCTAAAGCCCTGAAGCCCTAACGCCCTAAACCCCTAAACCCTAATGCCCTAAAGCCCTGAAGCCCTAAAGCCCTAAAGCCCTGAAACCTAAGCCCTAGAGCCAAACCCTGAACCCCTAAAGCCCTAAAGCCCTAAACCTTAAACCCCAAAACCCCTAAACCCCAAACCCCTTAAGCCCTAAAGCCCTAAACCCGGCCTAAGCCCCTAAACCCCTAAACCCTAAAGCCCTAAACCCGGCCTAAGCCCCTAAACCCCTAAACCCTAAAGCCTGGCGCAGGGTGCTCCTAATGGGCAGACGCGAGATGGCAGAGAGCCAGGCTCGGGACATTCGGATCTGGCTCGGGATTGCTTACCCATAGGCCCCGTAGTAGTTCCTTTTTGGGATTACCTTATAGGGTTTAGGGTTTAGGGCCCATAGTAGTTCCTTTTTTTGGGGTTCATATTTAGAATCCTATAAGGTAATCCCAAAAAGGAACTACTACGGGGCCTATGGGTAGTTGTCGGCCACAATGGACAGGATCACAGGTCATTGCGAGTAATGTAGGGGCCTAAATAGTTACCTATATCATTTTGAGGGGTTCCTTATTATAGTTATAGCATGATAGGCCCCAAAACCCTATTCTAATTAATAAGGCCCCTGCATTACTGATTTGTCTAGTTAGCCTACCGGAGAGTCATGGTTTGTTTTATGGATACGGCGTTTCCTGCAGATTGCACGGACCGGGTTGATTTGAGTTGGTACTGCTTCATCAAAACACCTTCCGGGAGTTGAAATGAGGAGAGAGCCCCTTGGTGAGCCACTGCACCAACTCACAAAATCCAACGAGTGCGTAACTGTCTCGGGGCGTGAGGCTTGTAATTAGTTTCTCTTTTCTTCACGGCAAAGCAAATCCCAAACTGCAACCGTGGTCCCCGATGCTTTCACGGCACGTCCCCGGCTCCATTCCCCCCACCAGGGTTTATGGCATAGACATATTCTTGTATGTACCTTATAGCACAATATTTCCTCAAACCCCTATCCTAACTAACTATTTACATAAAGCTCCCTAGATTCGGCAAGCTGATGAGTTCTGCATTGGCTTTGTCAGGCCGAGTCAATGGGATACGTGCCGAATCCCCGTTCTCTAGGCCCGGGCCGGGGCTTCGGTTTAGGGTTTGGGGTTTGGGGTCTGGCAGGCTTGAGTCCAGTAGCAACGCGGCTGTAGGGGTTAGGGCCTTCTTCTTCGAGATCGACGCCAATGCTACAAGGTGTAAGAGGTTGATAGGGTTATGGGGCCAATGCTATAAGGTTTTACGGGTCTCGGGTGTGGGTTGAGTGTGCAAGATCTTCGAGTTGAAGGATTCATTGGCGAGAGGAACCGCCAATGATTTCTGGTTTCGCAGGTGTTGGGGGGCAGCACCCGACGAAAACCTCATGAAGACTAAGTGTGTTGAATGGTGTTGGGGTTTTGCTGGAGAGGTGGAAAGAGTGCGGTACAGAAGCCCGGGAGTGAGAAGGCTCACTCTCAGATGATATGGTGTGCGTTGTGATGGAGACGATGATGACGATGACGATGGTGGCCTACTGGTCACATCTTTGCAAGTACCTGGCTTCCCTCCAGCGTCTCGTCAGCATAACTTAGGATGGGGCTAGCCCAAATGAACTCCAATGTCGTCATATTTTCTTTCAAACCACTAAGCTAGGTACCCCTATAGAAAGCCGCTGCGTATGTCTTTCTTGGCTGCCACTGTCTGGATGAGGCTTCAATGTTGAAGATGTCGTGGGCCGACTCAGCACACCCAGTGGCGGAAGCAGCTGCTTCGTGAGGCTACAAGGGTCTTTCTTTGTGGTTGCGTGCTCACTGCGCAGACAGGGTTGAGGAAGGCAAGCACCGGGCAGCCACCAAAATGAACCGCCAAGCCCGTCCTCAGTGTCACGAGGGCGGGATTTCAAGAGTTGGCTGCAGGAAGGTGGCACTGTAAGGTGCATCTGCTGTCTTTCCCTGCTCTTAAATACAGCCAGAGGAGCAGCGGCATCTACTACCGTCATTCCAACTAGTTTTCCATTCACGACATATTGTTGGTTTTACTGTGACTTTCCGAGCTTTGTGTTTAATGCTACGCCGTGCCGTAAGCTGAGTTTGAGACGATCGCGCTGCGGGAGCTGGTTTATTAAACGTCGGGTTTGCTTTGCGCCATTTTGCGCCTGATGCCATCAAGTCTTATGCTCGGGTGGACGTTGCTTTCAGGGTTATGTCCTGCGAGTTGAGGGTTTAGTGTTCTTGCAGCCGGGATAGCAGACTCGCACCATCGGACGATAGTTGTTCGAGGTGAGATGGACCACGGACAACTGAGACCAGGGTTTCACTTCCCCTTACCCAGTCCCTTCAGCCCTAGGCAACCTGCGTCCGTGGCATCCTGTGAGTTCATGCATCCGGAAACTGCAGGACATGTTGGTTCCGGAATCCGGAGCCCTTTGTTCTTTTCTACACCCCTCGATTTGGTTTGGATGAGTGCTTGGGCATATGTCGTTGTTCTAGTTAGTTCTAGTTGTTCATTGTTTTCTTACTTTGCTGCACGGATAGAGCGAGAGAGAGAGAGAGAGAGAGAGAGAGAGCGGGGGGCGGCACGGGATGCACTGATCCCATGTTAGCAGATCTTCCTACTGCTGCGCTCGAAGCTCGCCGTTGCCCCCCAAGAAACTTTGCCATTCCAGTGGCTTGGTTGCAGGAAGGGTTTTTGTGCGGGGAACCATGTGGGCATATTATTATGGGTGTTTGGATTATACAGGGCTTCTATACGATGATAAGATGACTCCGCATCTTTCTGAAGACCTGGTCCGCGATCGTTTCCATGCCCCTCCTTTCCTGGGATGGTGTCGGCAGATCAACCGCAGAGTGCTGGGTACTATATGAGAGCTTTGGGGGCTCGGTTTTGAGATATAAAGCAGTTGATCATGTCAGGGAACGCGAAGTGGAATGTCGTTACCAGTGATTGACCCCAAACAGCCGTCAGGCTTGAACTCCGAAAGACCCTGAACCCAAACTCCTGAACCCTTCCTAAACCAACCTCGCCCTGGATTGCCGAGTTGCGAGAGTCTAGATCCTAAACCCCATACCGCCCATACCCGCTTAGCAAAAGAGACCAAGGCGAAGAGGGATCCCCCGACTCCTGCGACATGCGGAAGAGGGAGCCCAAGGGGTCTGAATTGCACAGAAAAGGAGGTCCTGTTGAGGGTTTAGGTTTCAGGGGGCACCTCAGTCCGTGCTGAAAAAAGGGCTCAGGGTGTGTAGGGCGTGCAATAACAAATTTTCTTGTAAAAATCTGAGGTTAACCGGGTTTAAGAGTACCCAAACCCTAAACCTAAACCCTAATATTAAGAGTGTTCTTTTGAAGGTATTTTGGCGTTTATAAGGGTTTTGGAACCTAAGGGTTCAGCGCTTTGGGCTTTAGGTCCCGGTTTAGGGTGGTAGGATTCAGTAGGTGACAGAGACTCGTCTGCATGATTCATCCTAGTTGTAGAGTAGGTAAATCCCTATGTAACCCCTATAGAAACCCAAAAGGTTAACCTTTAGTTCCCCATGATACCCGACAAGTCAGTCATGGATCCTGTGTGAACCGTGTGCAGCCGCCCTGTGACGAAGCGGCTTGGGGCCAGATGAGGATCAGAACGCACAGACCCCTGATCTTCCCCACTAAGCCCCACTTTTTAGGGTTTAGGGTTTAGGGGACACGCGTTTAACAGGTACAGTGATTTTGGAGGCCTTAGTTTTCGGGTATGACCTGCTGCCCCGATCTTGATGAGTCGCCACTATACACACCTGAAGCCAGTGCAGGAGACGGTCCTTGAGAAATCCTGGGAACCTTCGATTGAGGATTACCCTTGAGCCAGAGCTGCAAGAAGAACTGCCAGGAATCTCGGGGTGTCCCTCCTGTGATGTTCCGTCGAGTCATGCATTTCCTAGGCATAGCCCTTTTAAGGCACGAAAGCCTGATCCGCCTCCATAGTGCCGGTGTGAGCACACATCCCTCGAGCTCGACCGGTTCTGTCGCCGCACTACCCACACCGGGTTTAGGGTTTAGCCTCCTCCGGGTCTTCACCACTCATCTGAGCAGGCCAACTGAGGCCACACAGTGGGAGATTCAGGAAAGAAGGTACCTTCATGTATGTGTGTATGCATGTATCAGTATAAGTGTATACAAGTTGTGTGTTGAACTGTTCAGTTTTCTGCCGCACCTGAAATCATGCAGCAGAACCACCGCCGAGACTTTCGGTTAAGAGCTTGATCGTAGTGAAACACTTGGACCCCTAGAAAAACACGACTCTCTGATTATAGTTCCTTCTTGTAGATATTTAGTATAATACCCCCAAGTCTGAGCTACATCTTCAACGACATGGACTTCTAGATGCCCAGTTCATTATAGCACGCTTCCAGCCGATGCCAAGGGCACACGATGTGTTTCTCATACGTCCTACTATCATTGCTCGTGTAATCAGCACAACCCTATTCCATAGTTTTTGCAGATGGTTCATGGTGTTTCTTGGTCACCACACTAGACCGAAAAAAACCTTAACCCGAAAAAGTCAGTGCCTGCTTTGAGGGAGTGTGTGAGTCGGAAGCCACAACCTTGCTACTGGTACCAAGGTAGTGTGTGGGACCCTTTCGACCGTCACAAGGTCGAGGCCATGTGATGAAATTTAAAGGCTCAAGGGTGCAGTAGAAATTGGGGATTTCGGGTTTAGGGTTCGTGGTGTCCGGCTGCAGGCTCTGGGAGAGAGTCCAGCTTGAGAGAGACATGTAGAACAGTACCGGGTGCTCCTTACTGATGCTTGTGCCCGGTGCCACATCATGATCTGCCTTGTGCATTATGTCGGTTCCGGGTGTCCGTTGCAACTGGCATTCTCCAGGCATGCGTCGTTTTTGCACAATCGCCTGAGTCTGGGGGAATGCCGTTTCAAGCCACATCCACTGCTGTCGACCCAAAGCAACGCAATGCGGTTTCTGTATTTGGGTGGGTGGGGCTGGGGTGCTGTAGTCCTACACTGTCCTACACAGTCGCAGTAGCCATGCTGACGACCGTACACAGCTTCTTTGAGGAGCCCACCCGTGTACTTTCTGAGCCTGGTGATCACCACAGCATACAAGTCACAAGAAGTCAACAACTGGTTGAAGACTTATAGTTAGCAAGTGGCTCCTTGGTTTGGCAACTGGTTAAGCCGACATCCTCAAACCTAGCTTGGCATAGGCCACTCGACTCTGAAGCGATGTCTCAGACCACAAATCGCCAAGACCGAAAACCATGCGGCATCCGACGAAGACGTCCAGTTCCAGCCATGTGCAGTAATATCGTCAGGGCGCATCAGAAGAGTTCTGCACACTCTACTTTGATGCTCTGTTAACGATTCTCTGAAGACAGTATCGTGGTGGACCTTGCCAGGCTTGTCCGAGTGTGAGTGTCAAAAAACTCTACGAACCATAAGCCCGGTGAAGGACCCCGAGTTGAACACCGCCCTGACCGCAGAGGCAGGCATGCTTTCAGACCTAGTGCTATAGGGGTTACCCATAGGCCCCATAGTAGTTCCTTTTTGTGGCTTATATTTAGGGTCCTATTAGCTAATCCCAAAAAGGAACTACTATGGGGCCTATGGGTAGGGCATGGTAGGGCTTTAGCCCTAAACCCTAAACCCGAAGGGTCAGGGAGTTCCAGCTGCAAAAAGGGTGTTAAGGTTCAGAGTTTGGGTTCTTTCGGGCGAGGGTTTGATGGTTTAGGGCTTGGAGTTGGCTGTTAAACTTTTAACGTGCATTAACTTGCGGTTTCATAATGTATCAGGCTTGTTCGAGCTTGGGGCTAGGCTTCATGGCCCTAAGCTCGAAACTCCTAAACCCTGTTTTTTCAATAAACCCTGTCCTGTTTGTGAGGCCCCCTAGATAAACCCAATAATAACCCTTCCAGTAATGTTTATGGGAACCTTTAAAACAGCCCTTGAAAACAGCCATATTCTAATGAAAGACGCGGGACTTGGGATCCGCCTTTCTCCCTTGAAGGTGCTGGTAATTTATGTACCTCGATAAAAAGGGTCTCAGTAAGTCTTCGATTGATTTCAAATGCCAATAGCTTCCACCTACTGGTAGGTATTAAGAGGCTGTTTCCCGTAAGTTTTCAACTGATTCCAAATGCCAACAGCTTCCACCTACTGGGAGGTATTACGAGAGTGTTTCTAGTAAGTTTTCAATTGTTCAACTAGTTTCCGTGGCCAGCCTGGCTAGCTGCAATCCTTCAAGACGGACGCAAGCGAGACCTTGTCTTTGACAAGCTTTCCGTAGGTTGTGGCTCTGGATACATACCGATGTTCACGGGCTCAGGGTCTACATTAAATGGCCGTAATAAATATGAACACGAAGCCCTCACACCCCAAGCCGTACTGGACCCCAAAACGCCCACAACCCCGAACTCCCAACACGGCAAGAGGACCAAGAGCCAGCTGTGCCCCCAGTTCTCATTGAGCGCCTGCGCACCGCGCGTGCCTCGTCATGCAAGGGTGCCGAAGTCAAGAGTCCGGAGGAAAGGGGACCCTAAGCGCGAAACCCTTTACCCTAAACCTTCGTGTGTGAGTCGAAACCCTAAAAAGAACGAGTGACTTCTTTGTGCTTCTTTGTCCTAACCCCTAAACAAAATCTACGAAACCGTTCCTTCAGGCTCGGAGAGACAGTGTAGGACATTTTCAGGTGGGTAGTTACCGTTATAGGAGCCTTATAGAGGGTCTATATACCTTTTGGAAGCCTTATANNCACCTGTAGTTTCCTTTAACTTGGAGGTCCATGCTCAGGGGCCGGAGACTGTAGCGTATGATCGCTTCGGGTTTAGGGCAAACGGTTAGGGCGTAGGGTTTATGGTTTAGGGCTTATGGCATACACTGCAAGTCCGTGCTTAAAAAGGGCTTAGGGTTTAGGGCTCCGCACTTCTGTGGCATCGGATTTCGGTCAGTTGAGAGTAGTCTGAGCTGGTCTTTGGCGGTTGTGAGTCAGGAAACCCAAAGCCAAAACACAAGGGACCATGTTGGGGACCGGGCCTGGTGCCCGTCCTACCGGAGAGCGATTAAGATACCTTAGGTCTTTATTGGCGGGTTCAGTTCTTTTATGTGGATCCTACTTCTTTGGGGTTCTAGAACCAGGCTGTCCTAATCAGGTTCCTACATTATGATATTCTCAGAAAGCTAGACCCCTTCTATAGAACGTTAACTGATGGGATCCGTATTGTGAGGGGCCCAGCAAGCCAAGCTGAGCCGATTGGACAGTTCTGTTTCCCCTGTTAATTTTCGATAAATGACCCCTGCTGTTTTGGGGGGGTTGATATAGGGGCGTACGTCGCGAAATCACGGCTTGGAGGATACTACACTTTGACTATATCGGGACAATAAAGGAGGCACTGTTTCTAATTTTGCCTACACAGGCGCAGGGGGACGCCGCTTCCGCTGCGATTTTCTGTCTCAGAGCCATGAAGGGTGGATGTTGGGCCCATTGCTCCATAATGGTTCAGCCTGTTACAGAGTATGAGTAAGACAGAGGACGTCTTCCGGCCAGGTTGGGCTTCGGGGCTGTAGAGTTTTGGGGTTCAAGCCCTCGGCAGACTTCGAAGAAGCCATGGCCGATGGTGGCAAAGAGGTCATCGAAGACTCTCTGACAGTTCGCGAGTTGCAGCTTGGTTCACTTGGACCACTTGGATGGTTTCAGAAAACCATGGCTTGAAGAACCGACGTGAGTGCGCACTTTTCCGTGTTTGCTGTTGACAAAGGCCAATAATTCCTAACGCTTCTCCTTGACACACTCTGTCCGCTGTTGAACTCTTGCGCTCTGCAGTTCTGTAAATTCTGATTCTGATTAGTCATGCCCAATCTATTGCCCATGTAGTAAAAGTGTAGAGCACTCAGACAGGTGTAGGTGTTGCAAAGAAAGTGGCTGCTACTCCTATCCGAAACCCAAAAGGCTCTACGCCCTTAGAGTCTAAAATCCTAAACCCTAAACCCTAAACCCTAAACCCTAAAATCCCTAGAACCTAAAAGCCTGGAGTTCGAAGCTGTGGTAGCCCCGGTCGGACATCAAGATCTCCCGTTGTCCAGGTGAAGCTCTACCGCTTGCCTGAAGAAGGGCTTATGGTTATTATGAATGTTAGGATGATTATGTTTGTTTTATCGCGACGATGAGTATGCTGCAGCTGGTGATGATGATGATGATCATGATGCTTTTCATTATCATCAGCATCATTATTACCACTATTGTTATTGTCAGTGTTCGTACTGGTTTTGTTTGTGTGAAAACCTTTAATCATTATAGAAGTAGTGTTAGTGTTGTTCCATGCTGCTTTTACTCAGGCCTCTATATAGCATTGGTGGCATGCTTGGAGAGCAGCAGCGAGTACTGTACCTTTTGCACATCAAAGTTAAGGTAGTTTATCCAAGCATACAGCTGGCACAGATTAGCTAGTCCCGGGTTGCAACAGAAACTGTATCTCCGTTCAAACAACACCAGATGACCTCAACCAAGGAAGCGATCGTCCGCGGGCTAGGTTGGGGTTTTTGCTCTCCAGCACCGAACCGAGAACCCTGAACTTAGGCAGACAGTCTTGGATCCCAAGTTGGTTCGCGGAGTGTCGATGTCTGAGTGCCTTAGTGGCTGGGCCCAGCATTTTATGCCGCCTGATCCCGGCATGTTCAATGTCGACAAGGAGAAGTACAAGCTCAGCAAGCCCACTGAATCATTCGATGAGTTCTTGAGCCATGACTGGGCTACTTCCCGCTGGCTCAAGTTCATGTCGCTCCTCATGATCCACAACTCTCGTGCTGCTGCTGTTACCGCCTTGCTGACAAGTATCTACATTGCCATCTTACAGGCTTTTGAGGTACTTCCCTCTGATTTTTGGATCGCCTTCTTTGTGTACCCAGTCTATTGGTGTGTCCTGCTGTTCTGGCAGCGTATCCGCTCCGTATTCTTCACGCCGGCGACTATCTTCTTGGACAAGTGCTTGGCCTGTAATACAGGGGCTTCAAAATTTACCCGATACTAGTATAAAGACCCCAAAACCCTACATGATTCTTTTTGTTAAGGCCCCTGTGGTAGCTGGGATTTTTGTTTGGTGTTGTTGTCGCGCAGTCGCTCGAACCCTGAGCCTTGCGGCTGTTCCTGGAGGGCGCCGCCAACGTAAGCCGCAAACCCTGAGCCCTCAAACCCCTGAATTCTAAAACCCGAAAACTTTCAGCGTAAGCTAAGTCCCCAAAGACCCCAATCCCGCAATGTCCGACACCGCCCAAGCCCTGAACCATCCTAAATCCCAAACCCCCAAGGCCCACAAACCCCTAAGCCTTATAAACCTTAAATCCTAAACCCTAAACTTCCATAAACCCTAAACCTTAAACTTCCATAAACCCTAAACCCTAAACTTCCATAAACCCTAAACCCTAAGACTTCCATAAGCGCTAATCCCTGAACCTTAACCAGGCTCTGCATTGCGCAACATGACGAAGATCTCAAGCTCCAGGGCATCCTCGGCCTGGCAGGATTCATTTAATGCACTATAGTATAATGTATCATTGTATAATATAATATAACATAATATAATACCCAAAGGGTCCAAAGTACCTATATAGTAGAATGTAGGGTTTCTATCTAAAGAATTACCATTATGACTTGGGGAAGTATCCCCCATAACAGTACCTAGGAGCCTTTGGGCTATAGTATAATATAATATTGTATAATACAATATAATACAAACCGAATCCAATATACTATACAAGATAACCTAGTCAGAGTAGTAGCCCTTGAAGCCCTTGCAGTGACCTTCAGGGTTCAGTGCTGAAGAGTTTTAGAACAATTCGTACTAGTAGTCGCCCTGAGAGCAACGTCTCGAGTAACCCCCTCCCCAATCTACACCCATCAGGATTCTTAGATCGATCGCATCAGCTCACCATCCTATGGTCCCACAGGTGGGCGGGCCCGTTGAAAATGAAGGTTTAGGACCTTCGGGTCTGCTGTAGGAAGTTCAGAGTTTGGGAATCTTGGCAGGTATTTTTCGAGGATGTGGTGTGCCTATGAGCTTGCTACATTCTTACGGGATCCGAAGAAGCAAAAGCCAATCCAAATCATGCCGGTGAAGATGGCCGTGGTGCTTTTCCTCTTCGCTGGATGTGAGGTATCTGTTATGGTAGGCTTTTTCTGGATGCCGGAGTTTACTCTCAAAAACGGCAACGGGCACTTCTTCGAGCAGCTTTTTTGGTTCTGGCTGTCCCTAGCGCCATTCGTGCTCCTCAGCGTTCCCGTGACCTTCTACATTGGCATGAGCCTCTTCGAGGATCTGCAGGAGTTGCCTCAGCAAATGGCAAATTTCAGCGTTCAGCATGCTCAGTGTTTCTGCTGCTCCAACGGTCACAGGCGCTTGGGCGGAATCGGCTTTCGAGTTGGGTGTGGGGCTTTTGGGGAGCTGGGGTCAACTCATGCATGTTCTTGGGGATACGGCCTTTGAGGCTAGACAGATGTCATTGGCCGTTTGTTGCAGAGCGTTCCTGAACCCTCAACTCCCGCTCGCCGAAACTGTAAAGCCCGTACACGTCGTACATCCTGCACCCCAGGCTTCATCCAAATCTTGGGGCCAGCACAGATAGTTCTAGGATCCAACATCCCAAGACTCCAAGACCAAGTCATGGTTTAGGGTTTAGGGTTTAGGGTTTAGGGTTTAGGGTTTAGGGTTTCCAAGACCAAGTCATGGTTATACATTAGGTACTACCAGGAGTTCAAGCTTGCTAAGAGTTGTCCTGAGTCAGACCAAGCGCATGTAGTTAGCTCCATGCAACATCCTTCACCCTACCTTTTTTAGGTCGGCAGTAAGTGTTTCGGCTTTGTATAGTATGAACTGCGCCATTTCTCCTGCAAGCACCATGTCCATGATTCACAGAATCCGCGGCACCAACAGCAGGCATCCGCAGACAGGAGAAGTCTTGCCTTGCGACCGAGAGCTTATCTTCGGCACGCTCAAGAAGTGGCTTTGCAGAGTTCGGGTTCAGGCACAAGGGCTCACGCTTCGCCCAGCTTCACAGATTTCGGTAATAGCTTAGACTCGGTTATGTCGTTGCCAATAGTGGAGCATTGCCGAGGTCCATGTCCGAAGCCTCTATATCATGATGGAAGCTTAACAGACACTCAGCGACCTAAGTTTGTGAAGAATCCGAGCTTGTGGCCAAGGTGGTACGGGGAGCCTGGCGACGTGGGCACGGAGCATCTAGATCGGTTCGACTACCAGGTGTGCTGCGAAGAAGGGCGTCCTCCTGTCTTTGAGCATGGAAAGCTCTTATAGTGTCAAAGAGTTATGCAGCACGACGGCTCTCGTGCGGGACGATGGATCAAACTAGTCAGAACCATGAGGAAGTCCCGAATTTCCGGTACGTGTTTGTGTTGTTCTTGTTGGCAGGCAAGCAAGCCAGCAAGCAAGCAGCCAGCAAGCCACCCTAAACCCTAAACCCCAGCAACAAAAACACAAGTACAAAGCGAGGAAGCAGGCGAGGAGGGATGCGAAACGCTGGCAGGCAAGCCACAAGGAAGCCGGCGCTGTGGATCTACCTATAGTCTCCATTGTAGTTCCTTTTTGGGGATACCTTATAGAATCCTTAATATATAGTTGGTTAAACCAAAAAAAGGAACTACAATGGAGACTATAGGTAGGGAGTTGGTACGGGTTTTGTGCTTGCATGAACTACCCGACCGAGAGCATGGTCCCAGCAATCAAAATGCAGGCTGTCACAGGGGTGCTACGTCTTTGGTGTCGCAGGTCTCAACTTTCACAGGAACGCGTGTCTGCAACATGAAGAAAGTGAGCTGCCACGATGTGACGCGTGTGGACTGTCGCAGGCACCGCGGCAGGACCGCACCAACAAAAGCCGAGAAAACGACTGTGATATGGCGCGTGGACAACAACTTCCGCGCAAATCCTGCAATCGAACCGGAGAGAGATTTCTCACAGCCCAGTTTTGGGGAGTAGCCGCAAGACTTCGAGTGCAGCGACAGTGCTGCATAGGGAACACCCAATTTTGATGAGAGTAATATAGGGGCCGTATTATACAATAACTATTTAATAAGGATCCCCCAAAACCCTATTCTAATTATTAAGGCCCCTACATTATTATCGTTTTCTCATTTTTGCAGCCCGGACTTTTCTGCGGCAAAAGGACCTTCTCAGGCGGAGGGTGCTCTCGATTGCTTAGCCATTTTTGTGAAATCGAACGCAGAAGTTGTCAAATTCACGGGGTCAATTTGTGAATCTAAGAAGCTCATCAAACTAAGTCACTACATGTCCTAGATGAGGCTTCTATTGAAAGCCTGACGATCGAGTCGGCGTCTTAGTTCCATCATGATTGGTCTTGCTTGCATTATTCCCCCCCTTCCAGGGGGTCTCAAAATTCAGGAATTTCATTCCCTTATCCTCCCTCTACATGTTATATCTATATATCTATATATATATATATGTATATATATATATATATACATATGGAAGTTAATGTAGATGTACATGTACCTGTGTAGAGAGAGAGAGAGAGAGACAGCTGCCTGCACCCCACGCCCCACAGCAAATCAGAGAGAGAGAGAGTAGACAGTAACCCTACCTGAAACATGAACCCTGAACCGTACGAAATGTGCCCCATTGCCAAGGTCACCCACTAGCACAAGACCTTCAAACAACGAGGGTGGACCGACAAAGACGAATAGAGCAACTGTTTAGTTGCCAAGCTGCATGCCCGAAGCTTTTAGTAAGGCCTCAGCACGCTAAGATCATCCCTTGTTCATTTGCCGGATGTTGACGTCACTGTTGGAGCACGCCCAACCTCCTCTTAAGCATTTCAGCTGTATACACTCCAGAAGGACTCTTAGACCTGAATTATCAGAGAGCCCGCCCACAAGCACAGCAGAGCGGGTGAGTGTCGACCGGGGGTGCTCTCCAGCCCACGGAAACGGTCCCCTCGCATGTGTTCCCGGGGCTCCGGTGCAGCGTTCAACGCTCCGGGCCCCTCGAGACAGCAAAATTCGCAGGAACGAAAGCTCGTCCCGAAGTACTAAGCTGGGGACACTGGCTCAGAGACGGGGCATGGGGGAGGGGTGATCGAACAACCGCGCGCACGCACACAGCAACGGTTGTGAGGCTACATGCAAAAGCACTTTCAACTGATGCCCTTGTGGCCGCAAATGTTCGAACTGTGTCCTCTTGGCGTGTGGGGCAATTCCTGCTGCCGAAGGCATCACCCCTCGACCTAAGGGAGGCAAACACGACCGAAAACGCCCAGCCCTAAATCCCCCAAAACATAAACATTTGGCTGAAGCCTTCGCGCCTCCTGCTTCATCTGATGGAGCCCAGTGACAGAGCATAAACCCCTCACGCCGGACCCTAAACCCTTAAACCGTCCGAAAGCAAAGGCCTCTAAACCCTAAACCCCCAAGCCCGAAACCCCTAAGCCCCATTAAATGCTCAAAAGCCCCCACCTCATTGCAGAACGGTTAGAGTACCCTTGTTAGTATTTCGGTAAACTTCCTGATACCTCCTGAGCAATAGCCCTGAAGCTGAAATATGTGCAGGTGCAGGAAAGCTTAGCTCCTACGGTGCTGCGTGGAATGGGCCGCAGCTGGATACCGTTGAACTACACCGTGTACATGGTCGGCTTGGGTTTTGTGTTCGGTTTTGGGGATTTTATTTTTAGGGCCATCTGCATCCGCTTGGGTTTTTGAGTGCGTATAGGTTCCGGGCAAGCTACTGCACAGTACATTGTGGCTGCAAAAAGCTTCTAACGAAACGTTCAGTTGTTGGAGCCCGGTCTTAAGATTCTTGTATTTACTATAGTTACTAAGCCCCCGTCTCAAGAACCACATACCCCAATGCGGAAAGGAACCCAATAAATAGGACATATTCAGAAGAGGCATCTCAGACTATCTCAAAGCCCATAAATTTAAAGCCTAACCCTAAACCCTAAACCCTAAACCCCCGGAGATCAGTCCTCGTAGTAATCGACTGCGGAGAGCCTCTCAGGGAGTTCTTGGGTTTCACGGGAGGCCAACCGCACGAGCTCCAAGCATAAAGGGTCCTATGTATAGTAGGCTGTACAGACCATGCCGTGGGCGCTGCTTGCACGCTTGAAGCATTATAATGAGCCTAAAGCATGGGCCTAAGCTTTGAAGATTTCTGCACGTCTTGCAGAGGGCTCCTTCTGTATGCCTTTAGTATCTCATAAGCTTTTAGTATAGTATAGTAGATTAGAGTATATTGTCGTATATTGGATTTTGTCCTAGTCTATTATAGTATTTTACGGTATAGCAGCTATCCCAGCCCCTAATAGGTCGGTGTTGCCTCGGTGCCCGGCCTCTCTCGAACCATCCTCTCCTGGAAAGCCGGGCCGCCCGTAGAGCTGGCGGGCTTCGATCTGGTGGTGTGGGGATCGCGCGAGTTCATGAAGTGGGCCTTTGGGACTTCTGTGAACCCTAAATCCGAAGGTTTTGACCCTATTAAGACACGAAGCTCAGCAGTCTTTACGACGATGAACTCATATCTGAGGCTTTCTTGGCTTTGGTTAGCATCTTCTGGGTTCAGTTGAGCATGCATGTCCTTCATTATGGCCTTCGCTGGTCGAAGTACCTCACGCGCTTTGGTTGCGCCATGGTGTTGTGGATACCGGTGATGTTGGGCGTCTTCCTGGAGTACACCTCTTTCATGGTATGCATCGAGTTCACGGACCACAACAGCCTCTTTCCGGTAACCAGCTGCGACTTTGGAATTTGTGTTGCGGTTTGTCCTATGTTCTCACAGCGGTACCTATACTGATTAGCAGCTCCCGGGCCTTCCACTAAGAACCCAGGTTATCCTCTTCGTGGCATGGTGTATCTGGATTTTTTGCCTCAGCTATTACTCGAACGGGCCGCTTAGGGCCGCGCAGTCCGCCAAGGCTCGAAAGTCAAAGCCCGTCTTCAAAGAAGACGTGCCCGATGTTCAGGTTGAAGTGGTTACTTCTTCAAGCAAGACCGACCAGTCCGAGATTGTTGTTGAGGTTGGTCCCGATGACGTCAGCAATGCGGACACCATCTCAGTTTTTGAAACCTGAGTTGCCCTGTACAGAAAGCCGTTTGACGCTGCGAAAGATCGATGCCACGGGTGCCCACTACTATCCTAATATAACAATGGGTTTAGGAGTCATGTTCATAATCATAGTAACAACAATAGTAACCTAGTAGTCGTATTAAGTACTGTTCCATGCCATTCCAGCTTCAAACTTAAGCCGCGCACACCTTATCCTCGGCTGGCATCGCCGCGAGAGGCCAACACTCTCCGAGCCTTGCGCCCAGAATCATGCACCCGCAGGCCCTAAAGTTTTAGCACGAAGCCTCCTTGCTGGCCTAAACCTTCAAAACCCTGAAAGAAGAATTGAAAACCTTGAGAACCCTGGCCCTAAAGCCGAAAGCAGCTAAATGCGAATGCCGAAAAGAACAGCCGCCAAAGCATACCTCAGGCCCACTCCGGACCCAGAGCAGGATCCACCAGGCCACCTGACGAGAAGGTTACTACAACGGTTCGTCTCGTTGAGGAAGCGTATAAGGAACAGTGTTGCTAATTATGTGGGCTCCCGTTACGGCCTGGGACTGTTGGGATCAGGCTTCTAGAGGGTCGTCGCCTGAACTTGTAAGAAACGGTCGTTGCCACTATGCGCAAAACGACGATGACTAGGAAACCCAGGCCCAGAACCCCGTGTTTGCTAGCGGTATAATTTAGACACCTGATATAGGGGGCCTGAATAATTGCCTATACTATTTTGGTGGTTTCTTCTGATGAGTATAGAATAATATTCCTGGGTTTTGGGCTTCGATGCCCAAACACCTGCCTGTCACTAAACCCTGGAGTCAGTTTTCTTGTTCACATGATAAGACCATTTTCATACATTGTACCGCAGTACCGCATTGCAGACTGCAGCAGTAAGCTGAACCCGCAACCTTGCTTGTGGCTACTCCGTCTTGCACGAGAATCGCCTGCCTTCCTTTCTCGTCGATGCATGTGTGACTAGAGGGGAGTAACATGCAGATGCGATTCGAATCGTTGCTCGGCCTGCACCTCTGCAGTGCAATCAACAAATCCCTGAAACCCTTCGAAGTCGTCACTTCACCTGGTGATGTGGAAGCCTGAGTATTTTATAGCAGCTCTTATTGTGCGCCATACCTACGTCTAGCTTTGCCCAAGCCCAGGTGGAGTTATAAAAAGGCTAGGGGCTTGCAAGACTGAGGTGGGGGACAGGAGCGTTACAGAAAGCCTCATCCTGCGACGACCCAGGTGTGCGTCCCATAGATCCCAACCCTAAACCTCGTGCTACATCCAGTGATGTGACATGTCGCAGGCACGACGAGACAGAGAGGGACAGAGTGAGAGTCCGGAGAACGTCGGACTTGGGGTTTCAGGTTTAGGGCTTACCTTAACCCACCAGAACCATTTTTTATAGGTTTATAATAAGAACCTACAAAAAATTGGGTTTTGGTAAGTTAAGGTAGGGTTTAGGGTTTAGGGTTTGCTGGCACACAATCCAAGCCCATGCTGAAAAAGGGTTTAGGGTTGAGGATCTCAAACAAGGAAGCAGCACTCAGGACCTCCACACGGACGAGGATGTCGTGTGGGATGCAGACATCGGCGAGTGACTGGCCAAATAGGCAGAGCGCAGGTGTTTGCCATTCTCCAGAATTCGACACGTGCGGTGTATAGGCGGTGATAGGGAAAACTTGCAAATTATGCGGCACGTAGATAGCTGGATCCGCTGTTGCCTTGCCGCTTCGCTACTGCACCTGTTCTGGGTAAGCCCTTGTAGCTGCTGGCGAATCAGAACCGGTAGCAGTTGCTCGATTTGCGGGAGTGCCCAGGACAAAGTCAACAGCCTGCAAGCTTCACAGCTTCTCGCATGTTGTAGCCTTCGAGCGCCAATTTGGCTTTAGGCCAGTGTCTTGCATGGCTTCTTCGGCTCGTAAAACTGAGCCTCAACCCAGAGACTCCAATATCCCTTAATTAAGGAATATTTCTTAAGTCATATTAAGGATCCTACTATAATTTAAGGTATATTCCTTAGTTAAGGGATATTGGAGTCTCTGGGAACCTTGAAGCCGATCAGGCCCAGGCCTTTTGCCGCAAAGACGGTTACCGAAAGGCCTCGAGGACCCGATCTGGATGCCAGACTCTTCGTGTTTCCCAGCGTTTCGAGCCTGTATGTGCGTTGCTTTATGCCTATCCGACACACAGCATCGCACAAGTCTGGCTTCAAAGATAGCGCCCTTCGACTGGAAACAGCACTCTAGGATTCAGGAAGCTTCCCAACCCTAACCCGAAGTTGATAAGATTTGGCTTGTCGCCAGAAGTGCGCGCCATCTCAGATCGCAAAAGCAGGGCTGGTTGTCGGAGATACACATAGTCTTTGGGATGCAGGATGTGAGGGTTGGAGGGTTCCGGATTCCGTGCCCTCTTGCCTTCTCAATAGCCCTATAACTTATAGCATGCTGTTGACATGTTGCACCCGACACCGTCTTCCTTCATGCGACCTCGACCGGAAGCAGGGTTGCCGCAACCTGTCCCCGGTCGTTCGCTAGTCCGTATTCGACTGCAGGCCCTCAACGTCGTCTACTACTCTACTACTACTACTACTACTACTACTACTACTACTACTCCTGCTACTACTATTACTACTACTACTACTACTACTACTACTACTACTGCAACTACTAACTACTGCGAAGACGACGACTACTAGTGCTGCGAGTACTGGTGCTGGTGCAGAGTTGTGTTGTTTTGGGATAGCTTTGTTTTCTGAAGATTCAGACAACCCCTTTCGCCACCGAGACTTTTTGAGAATCTATGAGACATCAGCTGGGCTCCATGGGGTATAGGGTCCCGGACATTTATTCCTAAGTGTTTCGCTGGGAGTTCTGAGAGTCAAGAAACTCCTTGCTGCGGAGTTGTTGTAGTCCTGAACCTATTCTTTGGGATCCACAATTTGGGTTGCCCGTTTCCGAGAAGTTGTTTCGCTTTTGAACATGAGCCCCGAGCATCCTTGGTGGAGCCATTGAGCCTTAGCACAGCGGGGATGAACTCGTCCGGCTGGCTGCTAACAGCAATAGCAGATATCTCAACAACAAGACAAAAGCAAATGGCAAGCGAGAGATCAGGAAAGTTGTTCATTCGATCTTCGCATGTACTGCTATTCCTGCTTCCAAGGGATCATCCGAGACACTTCCTAAAGTTGTATAAGGCAGCAGCGCATGCGATGAAGGTCCTTTCCATGATCAGGAAGGTTGCGGACCTGTGGGGGTTCCAGGTCAACGCTTAACACCGAGAGAAAAGCGAGAATATATTATAGAGCCATGGAGATTACGCTTCAGCTGGAAGCGGTCGGCTTGAAGACCAGCTTGAAGCTGCTAGGCCGTTATGGAGGTGTATCGCTTTAGGTTCGGGCTTAGGGTTTAGGGTTTAGGGGTGAATCTCAGGTGCTGGGAGGGCAAAGCCCCGCAAGCCTCAAAAAGATCCTGTCGTGTCGCATCCGATCCACCGCAGCACCAGAGATCATTGAACGTTCGAGACGATCATGGGCACGTGTCGAATCACACCACAACCTGCAATCACGGGACACTCAAACTAACCGCAGGCCGTCGACACCTACATCTTAAGAGGCAAAGGCAGTCCTGCCAGTAGTGACTTTGACTGTGCCTTGCATTGCGCCGTCGTTCAAGATATGCCCTTTGAGGATAGACCCTGCATGTCTGCAAAATACGTAGGAATCAGATCTACCGGTTCTGGCTTCAGGCCTGTTTCTGGCATCCGCGTGATGTAACATACGAGATGAGTTGGGCTGCAAAGGACCCCATATGCCACAGTCTTGGTCAACAGGATTGGGCGAGCAGGGATGGTTGCTGGACGTCAGGGTCGTCTACGCCAGACCCTCTTAGACCCTAAACCCTTGCACGCGAAGCCTTGCCAGCCTTGTACCAGAGTGAGAGCCGAAACCCTTGAGCCCTGTAACCCCTAAACTCTGCGTAAGGGCGCATCTAGGGCCTCGCGAGGCTCTACTTGGACACTACTCGCCAGCAACTGGCCGGCCTGCAGCACATCAATGCTCTCTTGCAGCTGCTCCGCTGCAACACCACCTTCAGCCAAGTGCAGGCGGTGGTGGCATCCCTGGTAGTGGGCGGCAGTAGGGGTGGTGTTGGTGGTGACCGTCATCGCCGTCGTGTTGAATTATCGTCGTCGTCCTCCTCCTCCTCCTCGTTTTGGATCTGGTTTGCCATGTAGTTCAGAATTGTGGTTTGAAGACCACCGCTTACATCACGCAAGCTTTGTCCGTAAGCCTTGTACCCTGCCTATCTCTGGATGCAGCTTCGTCCCCGTAGTCTTATGTCCCGATCCCATGAAACCGACAACCCTAAAAAGGCAACCCTGAACCCAAACCGCACCCACTTCCCCTCAAAAGGCGCTCATTCTGGCCGAAGCTTAGGATGTGCATCGCGGAAGTGGAGTTCGACCCAGACCAACAACCTGCCTGGAGGGAGCTACAGAAGCGCACCGAAATCCTTAAGGCAATTGGGTTTGAGGACGTAGACGGTTTCTGATTCCAGGGGGAGGTGGGGAGAGATGGTGGCGGACATATCAAACTTTGAGTGTTCCAATTGGCGAAGCTTGAGCTTTCCTGGCTTTGTGGCACAGCCCAAATCCTAGAGCTTCGCATGTCCGATTCGCGGAATCGGTGTGTGTGCTGCCATCCGGCGGTAGCACTAGTGCTGGCTGCTGCCCGTAGCCGTTGTCGTGCCAGCCGAGTCGTCGCTGGAATTTCGGTCTTTTTTGGACTCTGTTTGGCGAGAACCTGATCAGCTGAACGTACTCCTACATCCGGGCGTCTAATTTTGTGAATTGGACTTGAAATTGTCTGTGCCAACTAGGCCAAATGCAGACTTCGTGTACACTTGCTAAGCCTTGTCGGGACAAAGCCCCTCTTCTCGCTACCCAGGCCCCCAGACAGGAAACGTGAAGTCAGTTAAAACGCTGACGATCTTAAAGGCAAAAGGCCTTTGGAAATGCTGTGTGTATATAAATGCGTGTATATCTGTATATTTGTTATATATATATATATATATGTATGTTTATTTCTTTCTTTCTTTATGTGTCGATGTTATACAACTTAGATAATATATTACACAACATTCAGTATGTTATACTGTAGCCTGGGAGGTGATGAGGAATCGAATCCGACTCGGCGGTCGCCGTTGGGCACCGGTCCTCTCGCCGATCCCTTCGCCGGAGGCACCTCCAGGGGCCTCGAGTTCCGTTGATCACGATTCCTTAGATAGCCAATGGGAGAACTTTATAAACTTTTTGGCTTTATATATTAGGTCTATCCTAAAAAGTTTGAACTTTTTTGGGCCTGGTTGTTGCAGAAGAGAGACTCATATGTGGGTAATAAGGGATGTGTGGATAGTTCTCTATTCTGGGTCGCTTTCAGGGTTCTTATGTGGGTAGTAAGGGATGTGTGGGTAGTTCTCTATTCTGGGTCGCTTTCAGGGTTCTTATGTGGGTAGTAAGGGATGTGTGGTAGTTCTCTATTCTGGGTTGCTTTCAGGGTCCTTTCCTAAGAGTGCCGTATTGTTTTGGGCACCCGTCCCAAAGCAGTAGCCCCGAAATACTAACGCCCGGTTCGCTGCACGCTCTTGGTTTATTAGCTCAGCGTTTAGTTTAGGAATGATTGTTTTACAGATGTTGTTGGTAACGACAACGCTATAAGGATAATGATGGTGACGCATGTTGGTGTTAATCATACCGATCGTGCTAGATGCTCGCGGTCATAATGACCTTCTTGCCATAGCAGAATGGGAGTGCAAGATAGCACAGTAAGACTTACAATGTTAATATTACAAAGTGACTAGCAGGCAGCATGCCAATGAGCAGGCTTATGATGAGAGTGACGGGTTTCAGGGCTTCGGTGTGTTCAGGGTGAGACTTAGGGCTTGTTAGCTGTTAGCGCCCATGAGATCAGAAGCCGCAAGCGATGGTTTGTCCGAGTTTGGTTCAAGGTATATAGGACAGAGATTCGCAAGTCTCTATTATAGTTCCTTTTTGTCGGATCAACCGAATATATACATATATATATATATGTTTAGGGTCCCACCAGGCAACACCCAACCCCGATTCGGAGTGCGGTTCGATGGAGGCTCCAACCGCTCAGCCCTGCCGCAAAAGCGCCGGAGCCTTGTTAAACCCGTGCTTTTGCTTCCACGGTACTTTTAGCACGTTGTTTGATTTCCATGTGGCACCGCATGGATACCGCAGCTGGCGAGCGAAACATGCAGATACAACAGTTCCCTCTGTCGGCCGGCCCCGAAAAGTTACGTGATTAATGGAGGGCAAACATGGAATGTGTTCCTTGTCTGTGTTTTACGGTGTTTCACGAGTTGGCGGGTACAGTGCGGGTCCTGCAAGCAACGTGGTTGTGATTAGGAAGTGCAACACCCAGCGCAAACGAAACCCCCAAACTACAGTTACCACATATACCGAATGCAAACAAAAAGCTAGACCCATGCAAAAGAGCTTGCAAGTGCAACTAAGACGACGATGAGTGATTAGTACCACCACCGGACTAGTGCTACCACCGCTGCTACCAGTACGAGTAGCAGTACCAGCACACTAGCACTTCCGAGTGACACGACTATGTACCACTACCACCGCCACTACAAGCTACTCCAACTTCAACCTGCTCTGCTCCTTCCCGGCTCTTCGTAGTAATAATCCTACTACTACTACTACTACTACTACTACTACTACTACTGTAGTATACTACTACTACTACGAGGACGACGACGACTACTA